TAGCATTGCCTTTTCCTTTAATGGGGTATGTTCAATGCTTCGACCTCGAAATTTTGATTCAAAGAAAAAATATTCCTAGTCAAGGTAAAGATTGCAAGCTACAGATCATGATGATTTTTCGTTGGTTGGCAAGGAAACCAAAATTTGCCTTTTTCCATTATTTTTCAAAAGGAGCATTCAAGCTATTTCAAAGAAGAACGTCTGCAAGAAATTGAAATTTTGCATACTACGATTACAATGCATGGAAAGAAGAAAGTAATATGTACGAAGATTAGCAAAGGAAGTATTTCCTCCACACCTTTCCTTTCTTTTGGTCTATTTAATTATCATGGTCATTGGTCAGTGAAGTTCGTCGGTTCCTCGTGCCTATAGTTTTCTTTTTGACAAAAGGTAAGACTTAATTATTATTAAAATACATATCAAGTTTAAAGAATATATCAAGTGAAGTGACAAATAATTATTCTTCGATGACTTTATTATTTTAAAATTACATTTATAGTTATATTTTTTATTGTTTTCATGTTAAAATGTAAATTATTGATATGTTATTGGTTGAGATATGTCATATATTATTTTAGCTAGTATCATACGTTCATATTACGTTGCAGTTTAATTGGACAAGAAAAACGATCATACATTTATATATAAAAAATGCCACATCGTCTCATTTTATACGTGACATTATATATATATATATATGGTCATCTAACATTTAAGAAATTATTTAAGCTCTAAAATGATATAAATAAAAATGGTACAAAGGATTAAAATTGATATATTTAAAGTGTTAATTTTATAAATTTAGACAAATCCGTATGATTAAGTAAACTTAGATATGGTCGAAAAGTAAACTTTAAATATGGAATAAAATTAATAAAAATAATTATTTATCCTACGCGTGGAATCGTCAATTCGAACAGAAAGTGTGAGCAAAAAAGATGAGAAAGTGACCCCACCTAGTAATGTCACTGGGGAATTTAAGAATAAATCTTTGGTGTTACTGCTATACTTAGATTCAGTACATCCTTTCAATTAGAGCATTATATATCAGATAAGAGAAAAAAAAAATTGACAAAAAAAAATAACCGATATGTAATATTTTTATCGGTGAGATGCACTAAATCTTTGATACAACAATAATACCAAAAATTTATTCGGAAATTTAGACCTAAAACGTGGATGATGGTAGCAAGGTGGGCCACGGAGAGACTGTGGTAGTTTTGTAAAGGATTAGACTTTGAAGTTAATTTACTAATATTTTATTTCAATTTAACAGCATCTATAATATACGTTCACACTTATTATTTATTAGGTTTTTATATTTGTCATGTTACATCACTTATAAAATTGTGACTATACAGACATATTTAAAAAATAAAAATAAAATAGAATGATAAAAGAAAAAAAAAATCATATAAATCCTTGAATATATGTGTAAGAACATTTTTTTAGATCATATAACATCACAGATATAAAACCTTATTTATTAATATGTAACGCGTATTACATTTTTCATAAGAATAGTAAAGTAATATCACAGTATACGAAAAAAATTTCTGGTATTCGGACTTTACCGCTGGTATGGGAGTGGATCCTCTAACGTGAAAAAGTGATTATGTGATCATATTATTTGATCACTACCACTCGTTCAAAAATTATACATTTTTCTCTCTCTCATCTCATCATCAATGATCAGTTGTAATCAAATAACATAGTCACATGACCATTTTTTCACATGAGAGGATCCACTCCCCGCTCGCACACTTGTCCCTCGCACTTGTCCAGATCGTGGACATGGTTCAGTCTTATCTCTAATTCTCTATTTTTGCATAGATGTTTACGTATTTGAAGAAAAATAAATATCAAATAGTGTAAATATGTTTTTTAAATAATTAAAATATATTATTTTTTATTTAATTAAATAATATTACGAAAACAAGAGTTCAATATATAACATCATATTATTTATGAAATTTTTTAATCAAAATTATTAATTTAATTTTAACTATTTATAAAAGTACTCAAACTACTACTTTTAACGCATATTACAATTTCTCCACTTATTATTAAGGTTATTTGCAGATTGATTTGTGTCGACTTTGAAGAGAATAGACATTCAAATCATTCAAATTAATTTTCTTATATATCATTCCATCGATTTAGTCATAAATTTAAAAGTTACCTAATCTCAAACGGTTTGGGCGAAATAAGTTTTATTTTTTTATGAAAAACACTAAATAAATCCTGAAATAGGTAATATATAATGAAAAATAATTTAAATTATCAAATATCTTATTTCATAATGTTGGGTTTTGTTGTTTTAATAAAAAAGGCCTATGTGAGCTTAAGTGTATGAGAAGAGTTTAAAAAGTTTAACTTTGGGATTTAATGGTGTCCGTATAAATAACCCTTCTTTAGTAGTTAACGGTTTGAGTTACTTCGATCAGAAAATTGAAACCGCGAGAGTTCACATACTGCTCCCCTTCTCCTTGCTAGAGAATATTCTTGGAAATATTATCATTTTATAGCAGTCTTTAACAAAGAGATTTGATTTCCGCAGTGAGGAGATTGTACAGTCTTTAACCCTAATTAGGAATCACACAACTGGAAAAATGGAGTCACAAACACCGTAAAAGAGAGATACCTTGTAATTGATCTCAAATTAAAAAAATTGACATTAAATTTTAATTATTAATTTTCGTTAATTGAATGGCTATAATTTTTTGAAATTAATAAATTAATTAATAAATATAATCTAAAAAATTATAACCGTTAAATTAGTGGAAATGAACGATTAAAATCTGGTGTCAAACAGAAGTTTGACACAGTATTAAATGATCTTACCCCATATATATATATATATATATATATATATATATATATATATATATATATATATATATATAGGGAAAAAATCTGTTTACAAACTGTTTTGATAAATTTTTACAAATTACACTATCTTCTTCCGGGAGAACATAGTGAAATTAGTGTTCTCCCGGGAGAAGATAGTGTAGTTTGTAAAAATTTGTAAACAAAAAAGTTTGTAAATATAACATACCCCATATATATATATATATATATATATATTGGCTATTTGACCATTTTGCCCCTCATTAATTAATTAATAATCATTTTGCCCCTGATTCGAAACTATCTATCAATCTGCCCCTCTTTAATCGACTACTTTGAATGTTTAATCGACTAAATGGTTGTTGGGAGATTTAATCGACTAAATCTCCCTACTTAATCGATTAAAATCATACTGACTTATTTTTTTTTTTTTGTCAAATATGGAGATTTAGTCGACTAAATCTCCCAACATCCATTTTTTGTCTGTTTTGGCCATTTAGTCGATTAAAAATGCAAGGTAGTCGATTAAAGAGGGGCAGATTGATAAATAGTTTCGAATCAGGGGCAAAATGGTTATTAATTAATTAATAAGGGGCAAAAGGGTGAAAAAGCCTATATATATATAAAGTATTTATCATTTTATACAACATAATTTTGTGTTATTTTTTTAATAAAAATGTGTCATTTTGATGTGTTTTTGTATTCCCTCTCCTCCACTTTCTTTTTCTTCTAATTTTATAAAAAAGAAAAAACATAAAAAAAATATCAAAAACATACAAAAACGACATAGTTTCGTTAAAAAAGAATGACACAAAATTATGTCATTTAAAATGACAAACACTTAATCCATTTATATATATATATATACAATATATATATATATATATGAAAAAAAATATTTCTACAACCACTTTAGATAAGGTTATTTACAACTACCCCAAAATCTACGTCGTTTTGATTAATGAAGGATATTTCTGTAATTTTAGATGAATTAATAAAGGGTATTTTTGTAAAATAAATATGATAAAAAAATAAACAAAATTACGGGAGTATATCTTTGGTATTATGGGAGTATGTACTTTCTTGCTAAAAGTAAAAAATATGAGACATAAGTGTCAATAACCATAAAAATGTGGATAAAATAAAAAATATTTAATTATGTTATACCATATCCTAACTACCTGCCTAAGATTCCACTAAATTAAGGATCATGATCAAGTTATCCCAACAATATAAAACAGTGAGGTTGCACGAGATAGAGTCTCTATCCCAACAGAAAGAAATTTGAATCTTACTACAACTGGGAGATCCACACAAGCCCAAGAGATAACTCTTATAAATAAGAGGCTAAAGACTCCAAGTACACATTTTTTGACCTATTTACTATTACTGCCAACACTGTGCACACACTCACGTCTTGGCTATAAGCCTATTGCTTGTGCACAGTAATTAGAATATTGGCTCTAAGCCAATCAAGATATGCAGCATCTGGATTTATTTCGTCTTGACATCTCATTTTAATTTTTTATGTAAATGCTCATAACAATAACTGAGTTGAATGAATTAACAAAAAAGCCTACACCTTTTTCTTGATGTTGAAGCGCAATTGAAGAAAGAGAAAAAGGAGGAGAGGGAGAGAATGAGAGGCAACGGAAGAGAGAAAGGGTATAAGAATTTATTTTTACATCATAAATATCTACTGTTAGATAAAATTTATAATTTAACAGTATTAAAAGAAATAGTGAAAAATAAACAAAATAAGAATAGTCATAATAATCTCTAGCAAATAATAAAATAAGTTTTTTCTTTCTTTTTTTTCTTTTTCTTACCCTATCTTTCAGCCGTATACTCAGGGAGGGAATCAGCAGCATTGACAAAGTGTGGGTATGTTATGTATGCGTTTGTGTGGTGTGGGGAGGTTGGAGATTTTCCGGGGTGACGCACGATCTGACGCAACAAAATAATAAAAAAAAATAAAAAATCTGATGAAATAAACAGAAAATGTAAATAGCATTTGGTCCACATTGTCCCAAGTCAGCTCAACCCTTAACCCTCTTTATAGCCGACCCCATTGCACCTCACCGGTAAATGACTTCAGAGACTTGACACCTCTTTTCTTTTCTCTCTCTGACTGCGTCAGTATCTTCTTCTTTCTTCTCCACGTCTCTCTATCTATATATTTTTCACCTTTCCTTTTCATTTTCCTCTCTTCCTCTCCCCCTCTTTCCCTAAGCTCACCCACCACACCATGTTAGAATTTCCAGTCAACCTTAGCGGCGCCACCACTGCTTCCTCGCCTCCCTCCGATCATCACAATCGGACGGTCGCCAGTGAAGTCGACTTCTTCTCTGTTGGAAACAAATCGTCACCGCCACCCCATCATGTCGACGTCACCGACATCAACCAAGATATATCTCGTGTTGAAACCCCTTCCAAATGTAATCTCCACGTAAACGTAAACTCCTTTGCCTCCTTTAATTTTATTCAATTTTTCCCAGAATTTTATAAAATCACGCTTGTTTTTTGTTTTTTGTTTTGGCCTATGGATTATATATAAAATATATGTTTAATTTTTTTTAATCATCTTCCTTGGTGCAAAAAATATATAGACCGGTTTACAACTCCTTACTGCTAATACCGGGAGTGATCGATCAATGGTGGATGATGGGGCTTCATCGGATGTTGAAGATAAGCTTGTCAAGATTAGGGAGGTACAGTATATATTCTTATTTGATTTAATTATTTTTAGAGATATTATCGATATTTACTATTTATGGAAATTTTAGTTGTTACTGTTGCGCAATTATTAAAATTTAAACGATTATACAATAGTTTTATTTTATTAATATAATACGTTGGCTTTTTAATTTTATTTATAGGAATTTTATTAATAGTTAATATTTATATAAATTTTAGTTATTCAGGTCATAAACTTATTGAAATTAAAAGTATATATTAATTATACGATAAAAATAATTGAGATGAAATATACTTGTTTTTAGCATGCACAATTGCAAGAGGACCTTCAACACTTGAACAATGAAAACCAAAAGTTGAAGGAGATGCTCGACCATGCGAGCAGTAAGTACACGAACTTGCAAAATCTTGTGGTATCAATGAAACAGCAGAAGAACCAAAGTGCCGAGGGCACAGAAAATGAGGTAATTAATAACTTTATATATTATTTACATCTTAAATTGCCAATTTTTAAATTATAATTTCATAGCAATATATGAAATTAATTTGATTTAAATGAATTACGTAGTTATCACTTTGATTATTTTACATCTGACCGGGATTTTTAACATGATATTTCATCTTAATTTGTTTCAGGTTGTTCATCAAGGAAAAGCTGAGGATAAAAACCATGGGGTAGGTGGAGGAATGGTACCTAGACAGTTCCTCGGTTTAGGTCGTAGTTGCACAGCGGAAGTAGATGATCAAGTATCTAATTCTTCTTCGGATGAAAGAAATCGAACAAACACAAATCAGAACAATAAAAACGAGAAGGATAAGAAAGAGACTGGTCCAGACTCAGAATCACAAGGTTGGGACCCGGATAAGCTTCGTAAATTGAACCCCACAAACGCCACGGATCCATTCACTACCGAAGCTACAATGAGAAAAGCTCGAGTCTCAGTCCGTGCCCGATCAGAAGCACTCACGGTATAATTAATTTAAATTGGTAGTTTATAAATAACGAAAGCAAGTGATGACTGATGATTAGTTTTATTAATAATTACCTGATTAATTACAACTGCAGATCAGTGATGGATGCCAATGGCGAAAATATGGACAAAAAATGGCTAAGGGAAACCCTTGTCCTCGAGCATATTACAGATGTACTATGGCACTTGGTTGCCCAGTTCGCAAACAAGTGAGTTCTCTGATTGATCAATATAATTAATGTGTACGTACCATTAACTGCTTTTAACAGTATTATAACCATTGCGACGACAACTAATATATATATATATAGGGACATGATTCGTTTACAAATTTTTTTTGCAATTACATTAATGTAGGACCGGTCGTACATTGTGTGATTAATGTAGGACCGGTCCTACATAATGTAGTTTGTAAGAGTTTATAAACAAAAAAATTTGTATATATAACCTGTCCCATATATATATATTGCATATATATATTCTTCAATTCTTGGGTTATTAATTAATAATATAATATAGGTACAACGTTGTGCGGATGACAGAACAATTTTGACAACGACTTATGAAGGCACACATAACCATCCACTGCCACCTGCTGCTATGGCCATGGCATCGACCACTGCAGCTGCTGCTACCATGTTGCTGTCTGGTTCAATGTCCAGTGCTGATGGGATGATCATGAATCCCAATTTGCTAGCAAGATCTATTCTTCCTTGCTCTTCTTCTAGCAGCATGGTAACACTTTCAGCTTCAGCACCATTCCCTACTGTGACATTAGACCTTACACACAACCCAAACAACGCATTGCATTACCAAAGACCTCCTTCGAATTCCCCGTTCCAATTGCCGCAGGTGATTGCACGAGCGCTCTATAACCAATCCAAATTCTCTGGCCTTCAGAACGTGGGGTCTTCCCAATTGGCTCCAACAGTCAGTGCCGCCACCGCAGCCATCACCGCCGACCCTAACTTCACGGCAGCACTCGCAGCCGCCATCTCATCCATCATCGGCGGTGCTCATCCAAATGACAACGCCAGCAACAGCCGTAATCCCAATATCATCAACAGTGCTTCAATCAATAGCTTTTCAGGAAACTAAAGCTCCTTGGTTCTTTATTTTTGTGTTCATATTGCTTTTGTCCATGTCATGGTAGGGTTTAGAATATAGCAGTTTCATTATTTCTTTATTACTTCACCTTGAATAGTTTGGATTCCAAGTTTTCAGAGTAAATAATAGACAGGAAGAAAAGAAATGTAACTTCTTCATAGTTTTCCCTTTTCATCTTAACTTGGTATGCTTATGTTCTGAAAATATTGAAAACGGCTACAAACAACCATTGAAAATACCTGTTTCAAAAGAATATTCTGATTTTTTTCCATTGCTCAATAAATTCGCCTAACTATTTTTTTATTAGAAGAAAGCCCTTACTATTTTTTATATTGAATGACTCATAAAATGAAATTAATGTGAAGGTGTGTAACTAAAAATAATAATAATTGTGAAGGGGAAATTAGCGAATTTCTCAGCAACAATGGTGTTAAAATTTTGATTTATTATTGTGATTTTACGTTTTTATGATTTTTTTTACTAATATTCTAAACGCTTTTACGTTTTTACGATTTTCTTATGTTACGATTTTACATTTTATAATTTTTTATCTTCCTTCCAATTTTACGTAAAATCTCTGTTTTTTTTTTTGATTACAAAAGTTTAAGTGAGGTTAGATACTGGTATCCACTAGGGTCAGGGAAGACCTCTCAACCTCTTTGAGGATTTCTGGGAGGGATTACATATCACCCACCAACAAAGTCCTCACATCGGCTAGCGGGGTTTGAACCCACGCCCTTGAGGAGTATGGACCAAACCCTTAGCCAACTTGCCCACCTCTGTTGGCTAAAATCTCTGTTTTAACTAGCTTGTCAGCAATGATATAAATGAAAATATCATTTATTACATTAGAAATAATTAAAGGAAAGATCAAATTAAAAATAATTAAATAGAGGATCAATTTAAATATAAAATCTGAAGAATGAGATGATCCAAAAGCACACAAGGTGATGGACTTTGATTGGAAAAATACAATACATTTTTTATTATCCTGTATTTCTCAAGACCATCTTCTCATTATTCTTATCAATACACAAGGTGATGGACATAAGTGAAGTATTTTTTTATTGGAACGGGACATAAATGAAGTATTGGATCAAACATGTGATGATGTTTAAGCTATGATGAGGTTAAACACGTTAATTTGTCTGTCGACGTACCTCATCCATTGTACAAACGGGTCTTCTTTGACATTTACCTACAATTGTCTCTGTGACTTGTATGATTGATGTACTTAATTATATTAGGATTATATCTTGTGAGCTAATTAAGAACAGACCAACTTCTTTGAATAATTGATAGGGAGGGAAATTATTACACCTCCTTTAAAAATCTGCTCAATCCTAAACGGAAGGACACTTACGAAAAATTAATTATCATCTGTTGGGATTATGCAATTGAATCTACATTTACTCTATAAACAAGAAAGCGATGTTGCATTTATTGTGGAGAGAGAAAGAGAATGTAGAAAAAATATAAAAATCAATCAATAAATATAAAAAAACGCTTATTTAATTTAAAATTACAGAAATTTATATATGTTAAAATAATAAATATTTTTCTAGACATTTGTAATTTATTATTTTAAAATGAAGACAATCTCCTCTCACCAAAACTTACGTGCACGTATATATATGAGGTAGGATCCTTTGATATTGGTGTCAAATTTGAAGTTTGACATCTCATCTGATAGTCGTTAGATCAAAAAAGATCAACGACTCTGATTTGTAAGCATGTGATACCGTTGATCTTTTTTGATCCAACGGCTCTCGGATGAGGTGTCAAAAGATCCTACCTCTCCCTATATATATATATATATATATATATATATATATATAATATAATGTCAAATCAATAATCAATGAAGACAATCTCCTCTCACCCAAAACATTGCAAATAATAATTACAAATACAAAATTTAATGTATTTTACTATTATTTACAAATTAATTACTTAATTATTAAGATGTAAAACTTTATCATTTAAAAATGGATGATTTAAAATAAATAATATTAGAACGTTGAACTTATTTACGAATTTAAAGAATATATTTCTTACGTTTAAATTGAAACTTTAAAAACATTTTTTTAAAAAAAAAATACTAGATTTCACTTTAATATAATATTAATTTTGAGAATTTGATGGAAAAGCATCGAATCTTATTTTATATTTATTCTTGTTTAATGAAAGTAACACGTATGATTTTTATTAAAATATAAAATGAATAATAGAAACCTTAAGCACACAGTTTTTTTTGTTTTTTTTTGGAGTTATTCAACCCTAATTATCTTTTTGAGGCGAGTTAGCTTTTCCTGGTATACTCACAAGCTTTGACTCTTTGAGCCGGCTCATTAATCCGGAGTGCAGGGCGGGTCAGAGTTAAAGATATTTGAATTCCTTCCAAAAGTGGTGCGTGAGGATTTAACTGATCGTCTTTTCTTTTCACTTACTTAGTTTCCTTGCTAACAACTGAACTATCAAATTTGATTTAAGTATACAGTTTAAAAATATTATTTCACATTATAAAATCAATTGGCTTATACTCTTGGAACACTTTATGTAAAAGCCAGTATATATGTGCTTTATATAAGAAAAAATGGCTTTTTAATTGAAAATGTGGTCAAAATAATTATAGTAATCAGATAAAGTTTTCACAAAAAATATATAATTTTAGTACTTTTTTCTCAAAGGTAAAGAATAATAGTTTTTACACCGTGTTACTAATGGTAAAGAATAAAAGGTCTAGTAAAAAAATTAAATAATTTATTTTTCAAAATTTGAACTAATGTGACGGAGATTTAGAACTTATTAAGAAAGGGAAAGAACAGTAATGGCAATCTTTTGACAACTCAATGTTTGAATGATTTATTTGCAACGTGTTAATGTGAAGGGGTATTTGTGGCCTATGGCAACATATTTTCATCTTTTTTAATTATTTTCTGTTTTGTTAAATCTTTTTCATTAACGTGTATTCGTCGGACAATGGTTGGCAGCCAATGGTTATGCATAAAACATTATATTAATCAAATCCATCAATACATTTTGTTTGGAGTAATGCGGTAGAAGGTTTATATGATGCGCCAACAATTCCTTTCTATGCCTGTCTGAGTGTCTATATAAATTTGTTTTGATGGTTTTGTTTGTAACTCCAAGTCTTATATATTATGATGGAAAGTGAGATTTTTATGTGCATAGGAGTTCCTTATAAACGAAATGGTCAAAAGAGAAACTAGAGTCGATGTGCTTCATCAGCCCAATTTAGGGGACACTCGCATACAGATCTTCAAATGGGCTTTATAGTCGTATCCACGTGAGCCCAAAACAAAATACTTCTATTTATTTTTAAAAAAAATCTAAAATCAAGTGTAAGACAAAAGGGAAGCTTTAAAAATGTGAATTGTGTTATGAAATAATTTTGTGGATGTTTCACCTCTCTACAATGAGTAGTATAACCATTTGTATATGTGATTACTATTTATAGGCATATTATGTTGGAGGTTATGAGTTTGAGAGAGAAGGATTTGTAAAAAAACATGTAAACCTCCTTCTAATTAAAGAGAATATGGGTGTGCATTCTTCTGTTCGATTCTGTTTCCTTGCTGAATCAAACTGAATTAAAAAAAGCAATTCAGTTTTAAGAAGTGAATTAATTTATTATTTCAGTTCAAAATTAGTTTATAACCAGTTCGGTTCAATTTTGAATTGATTTAAAATCAATTCATAATTTATTTTTGAAATAAATTCTGAATATAAATAAAAATTATTATAAGATGGAAGGAGAAAGAAATTTTTTTTAAAATATTTAAAATGATATTGGAAATAAAAAAGCAATAAATAATTAAATATAAAACAAATAAAATATAAAAAATACGTAAGAGAAAAAAGAAGAAAATAAATAAAGAAATAAAAAATAAAACAATAAATAAATAAATAAGAGATGAGAAATAAAGAGTGAAAAAGAAAAATAAATGAAAAACGAGAAAAAAAAACTATCATGAACTAGTTTTCTGTTCAAAAACTAATTTTTAATTTTTTTTATTGTAGTAATTTTTGTGGTTTTTTTCCATACACCTAAAACTGAAATGAAAAGTATAAAAATATTAAGAAAAAATTTAAAACATAAATAATACCACAAATTAAAAAAAAACAATACAATTTAAAAAGTAAAATAAACTAAAAATAATAGAGAGAAAAAGAAAAGAAAAAGAAAATAAAAAACTAAATGAATAAAGTAATAAAAGAAGGAAGAAAAATCGAGAGAGAAAAGATAAATAAAAAAGTTAAGAGAAAAGAAAAAACCAATTCAATTCATAATTTTTCAAATGAGTCGATTCTTATACTGATTTTAAAAATGAGTTCGGTTCATAAATTGATTCAGTTCATCAACTTATTTTTCAACAATGACAATTTTTAAAAAATGGTTCTGTTCAAAAATTATTTTTTAAAACTCAATTTTTTTTAAAGTACAGTTGAGTTCACTTCACAGATACCAAAAATTCACATAACGGAATTCAGTTTTCCTTTTTCTTTTGCACACCCCTGCCAAGAACTCAGCTACCCTGTTTCTTTCTTTAAGAGCATGAGTTATCTTCACAATAGTCGTCTCACATGCAATGTCATGCTTGCAACCGTTGATTTGTATTAATTATTTTTTCAGTAACTGTAAAACCACGACCTCCATCACGTTAAGGTGTAAACGTGAATATTTCTATGATTTTTCTTGAAGTAATTAAAATTGTAATTTGATGCGCATTAGTGATGCTGCTTCGAAACACATAAAGCCTTCTATGTACACCTGCTAATAACTCCATCAAGTTAGATAGCGCGCTTATCCTTAACTGATATGGCTTCGGAAGCTTTGATATGGGTTATGGTGTAAGGGTTTGAAGATATATCATCAGAAACGCGAAAGATGTGACGAGGAATGAAGAATACCATTTTGATTACCTGAGATGAAGCAACGATCGTGACAATTTCTCACGTTTTTTAGTTTATCTTAATTTTGTGGTAAAAATCACAAATAGGAAATGAAAATATAAATCTATGTATAGTTTAAGAAAACATTTTTTTATTGTTTAATAATAGAAATAAGAAGAAATTTTTAGCATTATTGATAAAAAAAATCTAAAATTAAATAACGAAGTAAAAGACAGAAAATGAACCAATAAAACCGGACATAGTTTGGTTTTGGTAGATAATTGGTCCATTAAGTATGGAAAGAAAAGGCAAAACACACTGAATGATCTTTAAGATGCGTTTGGTACAAGAGTTTCTTCAGGATTTTCAAAAAAATTGAATTTTTTTAAATTTTTGGATATTATTGTAAATTGAATGTAAAAGTCATATTTTGAAAATTGAGATTATCGGACAAAAAAAAATTTCTCCTCTACCAAACACTCCCTAACATATAAGTTTTCAGCTCGTGAATATATAATATATATATAGAGGTAGGATCCTTTGACACCGGTGTTAAATTTAAAGTTTGACACTTCTTCTGAGAGTCGTTAGATCAAAAAAGATCAATGGTGTCACATGCTTACAAATCAGAGTCGTTGATTTTTTTTGATCTAACGGCTCTCAGATGAGGTGTCAAACTTCAAATTTGACACCAGTATTAAAGGATCCTGGCTTTTATATATATATATATATATATATATATATATATATATATATATATAAAGAAAAAAGGGTTTGTCATTTTAAATGACATAAAGTTATGTCATTTTAAGAATGAGATAAACACAAAATAAATTTTTTATTTAAAATTTAAATTAAAAAACCACTTATTTTCTCTCTCCCGTGATTTTCTTTTTTTTTTGTCTATCTCTATCCTAAAACGACAAACAACACACCCATATATAAAAAAAAAAAACAGAAAAGGCAGGATATGGAGCAGTAAGCAGGAGTTGTCGTGTCGCGTGTTAAGGAAACCAAGTTATGCGCGCATCATTTTCTAGTTTTAAAGCATTATGTTGCAAACCCAACCGCCACGCAACGTATCTTCATGCCTTATCGACCGTTCTCTTCTCTTCTCTTTCTTGATCTTACGCTTGGATTGGAACGAGCCCATCCTCATTCGTGACTACGTGGATGCGTTTGGGTTTATCTAAGATCATGCAGAAATGGACGGCGAGATTTGAAAGATTACACCGCCTTTTCTTTCTCTTTCTCTCTCTCTTTTTTTTTTATTTTTTTAAATTGGGCTTGCGTTGTTATTAGGCGGAAAGAAAGGAATAATAGTTAAAAGTGGAGGTAGGGCTAGACTAGAAGCACAGGAAAAGAAGGTGTGACAGTGTCATTCATAGTAAAGTGCCTTCTCTCTTCTGCGTCTCTCTTTTCCATACATTGGTAACCTCCGCGAATTCCTCCAATCTCCATTGTTAATTGCTCTCTCTCTCTCTCTAACACATTTTACTGGAGTATTGTTTCTAAGGTTTTGTGCTTGTATTTCTCGTCATCGTAAACAGCCGTGAGTATGTGATCTGTTTCACTCAATACTGTTTTGACTCTTTACGTTTTCCTAGTTCTATTTCTTTTAATCGGATTGTTTTTTTATTTTTTTTAATGCGCAGATTTTCTCGGCAATTCTAGTTTTATTATAATTATAAGATAATCACGTTTGATATTCTGTTCAACTTGAAATAGTTTTCTTTTACTTCCTTTCTTTTGGTTGAAAACAGAAAAGATCTCTATTGGCTAGTGTTCTATCGTTTGGATAGAGATGTCTTTTTGACTAATATGTTGATGTTGGATCTATGGGGGATACTTTCGAGGATAATAGATTACTGTGCATAAGAGAATAAATAACTGGACAGCATACCCAAAGGGATGGGGTGGGTGCATATTGATAACAAGTAGAGAGTTTAGACGTAGTGGAATTTTGGACCTTTGGAGAATTTTTGGGTCCAATATTTGATGCATTGCTGTCGCAGATTAGTATAATTAAGAAATATTTTCTTAATTTTCCTTTTTTCCCTTCTCGTGTCTTCTGCAATGTAGGCCTCTATGTTTGATCCATAATATCCAGGACTCATTTTTTAATGCATGCCGTTATTGAATTTTTATTTTTTATCAATTTCTGGATTTTTATTTTAGTAATCCATATTAGTATTATCGCGCATAATTTCTTTTTTACTGGATACCACTCAATGAATTTTGTTTTGCTTCTAAATCTTTATGTAACTCATATTTCAATATTTTGTTTGCATTGGATTGCCAGAATGGAGTTTATGGTTTAATTATCTTTTTTTTTTTTGGGTACACATGGTTTAATTATCTTTAGGAAACACGAACGCTGACACGAGAAAATTTGAAATGTATCATGCAATTTGAACTGTCACGGCCCCTCATTATTATATGTAGCATTCTCGCTTGTTAACCCTCCCCTCATCTTCTTAATTTTGGATAATTTTTTTGTGCTGATATGTTATTCTAAAATTAAATTTATTAATTTGGATGAACAGAAGAACATGGGTAACAAATTGAATGAGGTCGTCTGGTGTTTGTTTGTGTCAACCCTGTTACTTTCTGCGGTGTCATGTGCACCCAATGATGGACTGCGTAGGATTGGACTGAAAAAGATTAAATTGGATCCTAACAACCGGCTTGCTGCTCGAATTGGATCCAAAGAAGTTGAGCCTTTCCGAGCTTCCATTAAAAAGTATCATCTCCAAAACAAATTTGGTGACCCTGAGGAAACCGATGTTGTTGCGTTAAAAAATTACTTGGATGCTCAGTACTTTGGTGAAATAGCCATTGGAACCTCTCCTCAGAAGTTCACTGTCATTTTCGATACAGGCAGCTCTAATTTGTGGGTGCCATCATCAAAATGTACCTTCTCGGTGAGCTTCTAGTTTTATACTCTCGACTTTTAGTTATGACTTAGGAATATATATCTTATTTACTTACTCGTTTGTCTAATTGCTCATTTCATTTTGCTTTTTGGTTCAGGTTGCATGCTACTTCCATGCCAAGTACAAGTCTAGCAAATCAAATACCTATAGGAAAAATGGTTTGTCTCCCTCGTTATTTCTTATAAAGCTCCAAAGTTAACTTCGATTGTCACTTTGCTTAGTCTGCGATTGAGCTTTTGCAGTTTGTTGATCTGACAATTCTTTGGGGGAAGCGCTTTGTTCTGTTGATCAACTAAAAAATATTAAGCTCTCTCGTTTTATGAATTGGCAAACTTAAGCGTTGAGATTTGAGTAACTGCTTAATATTCTTTCATATGTCGGGGTAGTTTGAAGTCTTGTCTTTTTTGTCTCTGTGGCGTGTCAATAGGAACAAGCATGTATTCCTTTCCTAATGATGAGTGAAACGGGGTGGGGTCTGAACATAATATACCTATACCATATGAAGGAGCCAAAGTTAGAAATTTTACCACCCACCCCATGGTTATTGGTAATAGCACTGTTGGAAGTTCCTAGGTTCTGACATATTAAAATTTGGTTTGGTATATCTTATGATTCTCGTTTGTGTTTATATGTTCTATTTTTGGCCACTTGACATTTTACACCTGTAGAAGTAGAAGGGATGCTTTCTTTCTTTATAAGACTTTTTCTTGCTGTTTTTTAGGGACTGCTGCTGCAATTCAATATGGTACTGGAGCAATTTCTGGTTTCTTTAGCTATGACAATGTCAGAATTGGTGACATAGTTGTAAAAAACCAGGTAATGCTGATCATCAATCCCTTTTTTACTAATAAAGGAGGGTTTGAATTGCCTTCTTTTATAATATATTGATTAACAGTTGATCGAGACATCGAGTACCTTTTGACCCCCATCAGGAATTTATTGAAGCAACTAGGGAGCCTGGTGTTACATTTTTGGTGGCCAAGTTTGATGGTATACTGGGACTTGGATTTCAAGAGATATCAGTTGGAAACGCTGTTCCAGTGTGGTACATGTTCACATTTTAAATTTTGATTTATTATTTTGTTAGAAGTTTATATAATCAGCCTTTTGCCTGCGTACTGTAGACTCACACAGTGTGTCCGACCCTGGTATTGGAAGCATCATAGCACCAAGCTGCTCTTTTTCATGTTGTTAGAAGTTTATTGAATCTCCATCTCATTATCAGAACATACGTGTCACAGGTACAATATGGTTGAACAAGGTCTTATCAAGGAACCAGTATTTTCATTTTGGCTCAACCGTAAACCAGAGGAAGAGGAAGGGGGTGAGATTGTTTTTGGTGGTGTTGATCCTGCTCACTATAAGGGAAATCACACTTATGTCCCTGTGACAAGAAAGGGATATTGGCAGGTTAATCATTAAATATAATTTTTTTAATACTTAGTAATACTTTTTTCTGGTTTACCTTATTTTGTTAATATTTTTTTTCCCCTCCTTCAGTTTGATATGGGAGATGTACTTATTGGTGGTAAACCAACTGGTATGTGTAGAAAACTTAATAGCAGTAATGCCAATTTGTTTTACCTGTGATATATGATAGCATTTTCATAAATGGGTCATTATTTTAATTCGTCAGACTGACCTGATCATATTGTCCTTCAGGACATTGTACTGATGGCTGTTCAGCAATTGCAGACTCAGGGACTTCTCTGTTGGCAGGTCCAACGGTATGAGTAAATGCTTACAGATATAGATTGATATTTAGCTTTTGTTTTTTGACTGTAGAATTTGATAGATTGTTAGATTTGGCGCTGATGAAAAGCAACTGTCGCCTGAGATAAACAGGAAAAATGAAAAGGGAAGCTGATTCAAATGTAAAATAAAATAATCAACAAGTAAATTGCTTATGGATAATCTGAAATTCTGATTGTTGAACGCATATCCAAGTTATAATAGGTATCAATTATGCCTCCTTTTATTTTGCTTTTAGATAGTTTTCAATTTTAACGTGGTTATTTTATACTGCACTCGTTTGGTTCTCTCCGGTCTCCACGATGATAAATTGTCTCTTACTCAGTTCATGTTCAATTTCTTCAACATTAATTTTGAGACCTTTAGAAATTGACAATTGTAATTGCGTTGTTTATATTACCAAATGAAAAAAGGTTTTAACAATTTTTTTTAACTAATTTGTTTCTATGACCACATATGTGGTTTTGTTATTGTAGACTGTGATTACTATGATAAACCATGCAATTGGAGCATCTGGAGTTGTAAGCAAAGAATGTAAGGCTGTTGTTGCAGAGTATGGACAAACAATCATGGACTTGCTTTTGGCTGAAGTGAGTACGATTTGTAAATTGTTCTTGACATATTTTGATTAATTAGATTCTTTTTTTTTGAATAACGATTAATTAGATTCTAGATTGTGGCTAAGAGCGGTATGTTTGAAAGATGATAATCTAGTAGAATGAATTTTCTTATGGTATTTGCTTTACTCCTTTAGGCACAGCCGAAGAAGATTTGTTCCCAAATTGGATTGTGCACTTTTGATGGGTCTCGTGGTGTTAAGTAAGGCCCAAAGATATGTTTACTCTTTTGAGTCTTTGGCCATTTACACAAATACTTTAATATAGTTAACGTACTGTGATTGCCATTTTATTAGTCTTTGATTTTTTCCTCTTTAGTGTTGGTATCGAGAGTGTGGTGGATGAGAATGAAAGAAAATCATCTGGTGGTCTTCATGGTGCTACTTGTTCTGCATGTGAGATGGCGGTTGTTTGGATGCAGAACCAGCTGAGCCAGAATCAGACACAAGATCACATACTAAGCTATATCAATCACGTGAGTGAGTTGTCTCTTAAGTTTGTTATTTGAGTATCTTGCTGCACCTCTTGATTCTCAGCCTCTTGATGATATGGCAGCTTTGTGATAAAATGCCTAGCCCAATGGGAGAATCATCTGTTGACTGTGAGAATATCTCTTCGTTGCCTGTAGTTTCCTTCACTATTGGTGGAAAAACTTATGACCTTGGCCCCGAGGAGGTATGATGTCTTTAAACCAGATTGGTTGCTTTTGCAATGCCTGATCACTAACTGGATTTAATTTTATAAAAACAAAATAGATTCACGTAGAGAGATTGGAATTATAGTACTGAACGACAAGACAACATCCTATAACAGATTAGAATAGTTGCATCAGCCGCTAAAAGGTTTTCCAGTGTCTTTACAATTGCATGTCTATCATATAACTTTACCTAAAGAAACATGTCCTATTCACAGAAAATGTGTGGCCCTATTTTTTTCCTTAAAAAAATTGTTGGTTGGTTGATTGATCCTTGATTTCATATCTGCTATATGTATAAGGTTTAATCGAACATATTAGTGAAAAAATTTATACCCTTGGATTTATTGCTTTACGAAGTTGTTTTATACCTTCGATCATCTGGTGTACGGTTTGGAAAAAAAAAAAAAATTTGGAGGAGGAAGAGGAGATACTGCAATTACGTGGTTTTAATGCACGAATGTTGTCCTGTTTCATGCTCTCTGTTCTCATTCAGTTTTCTATTTGGTTCATTCAGTACATACTCAAGGTGGGTGAAGGTCCTGCGGCTCAGTGCATTAGTGGCTTTACTGCTATAGATATCCCTCCTCCACGTGGCCCTCTCTGGTACATTAAATTTCGTTACTACCCTGAACGTGCACTATTAGATTTGTTTTTTCTTTTTTTCTTGTAATTATTCGTTGTCTTTGGATTGTGATGCATCTGATCTGATTCTCACTCAATGGCATCTCTCCATAAATGCAGGATTCTTGGAGATGTCTTTATGGGGCGTTATCACACAGTCTTTGATTTTGGTAATCTGAGAGTCGGATTTGCCGAAGCAGCATAGAGAATGTCCCTAGTGTCTCGGATTGTGGTGACCGTTATTTGCCCTTACTTTGTGTACCCTTGCAATTATAATGTGCCTAGAGTACGGGCTTCTATGTATATAAATTAATACTTTGGGTGTTCCTCTCCCTCATGGATGATGACAAAATAGCTCCACAGATGTATGTGGGCCCCTAGACTATGTATGCATCTTTAATTGAAGGGTATAGATGTAGCTCTCGTGATGCCTTTCGCCCCCGCTTATTTATATTTTGCAAGATGCGCGTGCATGGTGTTAATATTGAATGACTCAATGATATTAGTTTTTTTTTTTAAGTAAAATATCAGAATTCATCTATATTGATAAATAAAAAAACAGAAGAGTCAGATATGTTGATATGTATCATGTATTATCGTGAATTGTAAGTTAAATATAATAAAAAATATTTTAAAAATATATAATATAATTGATATTATATAAATTCAAATTTCAAAAAGACTTGGCTAGATTCGTTATAGTTTCTAAATGATTTTTTTATTATGTATTTGTTTATTCTGAATATTGAATAGATTTAGAATATTTATTTTCTTTATTAATATAAATTTTTGAGTTTAAATCATAAATTAAATTTTTATTTTCTTTTTCTAATCAATAATATTTTTTTATATTTGTTTAATTTAAATGACAAATCAAATTTTTATTTTTTTATATTAGAAATTAGAAATTTTAATTTAATTTTTGTATTGTATAATACACGATATGTATCACATGATATAGTATATGATTGTTCAATATAATTCTTTTTCCGATACATCTCTGAATTTGTATCGCTGAATTTGTGAATCCTATCTTATATCGATACATCTCTGAATTTGTATAGCTGAACTTGAATCTTATAGTACGATGGTGCAATACTGGTATGCATGGTTTCAAACAACAGATATCGTTTGACTTTTGAAGTAATAATTGCAGTTGGTCAATTGTTTGTGTCCCAGTCCTTAGGTGATGATTTCAATGTGGCAGAAATGACAAAGGGGAAACTAGGAACTGATGTTGTTGCTTCTGTAACATGTTTTACAATTGACTGAACTGAGTACTTCAACAGAATGGCTAGTGGTAACTAGAAAGGGAAAGCCAAGAAAATTGAAATGGTGGCGGCGTTTGTATTTAGGGTGGGCAGTATGTAATGTGATGTTTGGGTTGCTTGAAATTGAGGCATCCTTTGATACCGTGACATTCTCAACGCCTTTCACCCGACATCATATGAAAAAATTATTCACAATTAGTGTCTGTCAAGAAAAAGGGTCATACTTAAAAGGGGTGTATTGGATTAGGATTTTAAAAGATTTTTTTGAGATAAAAAATTCTACAGATTTGAAAAGACATTTTAGAATTGGAGAGATTTTATAGACTTTTTTTACAATCAAGATTTCATAATATTGGATTTTAAAGAATTTTAATAGAATTCATAAGATTTGAAAGGACAATATGAATTTATAATATTTTAAAAAACTATATGAATTTTTAACAAGTATTCAAAATTACAAGAGTCAATAAAAACAAATAACAAAGAAATGCAATAATATTAATAAAAAAAAAAAGTAAACTTCACAACGGATTGAAAATATCTCAAAAATTACTAATATAATCTAATATAATTTTCTCAATGAGTTTGAGTTTGATTTGCGAAAATAATAACCATTGATTGACGGAAATCAACGGTTAAGATATGGTTGTAAAAGTTTGAAAACAAAAATAGGTTGTAAGTATAATATTTCCCATAAAAAATAACAAAGAAATGCAATAAAATTAATAAAAAAAGTAAAACCTAATATAATTTTCTCAATCAGTAAAACATAATATAATTTTTAACAAACATTCAAAATTACTAAACAACAGCTTTTCACATATCTAATGGATTGAAAATTATCTTCAACATTTGGTATCAAAGTTATGCATATATGATTATAAGACTCAATTTTTTAATTATAAAAATAATTCTAAATTTGCATATAGAATCTAAAGTTCATGATAAAATTTCGTTTGTAATTGTTTGCAATTGATCTTGAAAACCTTGGGTTTTTTTTCAGTCGATACATTGAAACCTTAAATTGCTTAGGGGCTTTTGAGAAACAAGTTTTTAGTTATCTATTGACACAAAAATTATTTGAAACCGTTTCCAATAGTGAAGGAATTTCGTTCATGAATGTATTGTTACGAAATATAGGGTTCATATTATGAAAGTTTCAATCTTTCTTTAAATTGATATTGTTTCATTGATGTAAAACGAAAATTGGTTTGAGTGTTTTAGTTCTCCTGTTATTTTTTCGCTGTTTTATTTTAATACAAAAATCACACTTTTTGTGCCAAGAAAAACCGCGACCCGTAGCTTGAAAAAACACTTTTTAAACTTCCAAAATTTCTCAAAAATATGTTATTTTTTAGATATATTATATTAAAATCTCGTTGGTTTGTTGTTTCTGGGTTGTTTTGTGATAAAAACGCCTCAAAAATATGTTTTTTTTTAGTTTTGATGAAGCTCCCATGGCGGAACCCAATTTCGAGCAGTCAACTTGCCAAAGGAAGAAAGAGAAGAATCTTAAGAAATCCTAGGGGTTAGGGTGAGATTGTGATAGATGCATCCTATTTATATTTTTCACTAAAAAGTCTCACGAAATCCACACCAATAGAAAATTCATTAAAATCGTCGAATTTTTGAATACCACGAAATTGTGATTCTATTGTTTAAAATCATGATTGAATACCAACGGATTTGGACGGATTCTAAAATAATCCTTTAAAATCCTAATCGAATACCACGTGACTTTTTTTCAATCTATTAAAATTCTAATCGAATATCAACGGATTTTTTTGTCCAAAAACAATTCATTAAAATCCTTTGAAATTTCAATCCAATACACCCCTCAGATCTGAGTATGTATGTTGTAAATTAGCAAGTACCCGTAAAATCTTTGATAATCTCTTATAATTATTTTGTTACCATTATATCCAAATTAAATTAATGACTTTCATTTAATATTATTTGATAATATTTAATTTGATTTTAATTCATGATAATAAAAATAATTATACGAATTGTTAATTTATTTTGGTCTCACAATAATAAAATGATTGTAAAAAAATGGGTCGTATGCATAATCTGTAATATAATTTTTTAATTTTTTTACACTCTTTTTAGTAATAAGTAAAATTATGTACTAGCATTGTTAAATAACTTGAGTTTTCTCTTTATTAATAAGATTAACATGACATTTTACTTAACATAAAAATATTAAAGTATAGTGTTAAAAATTATCTTGTTCGTGATTTTTTTTATGGGTTATGTTTATCTCATTTTACATGAGATAAACAACTCTCCTACACACAAAAATGGATTGGGTCCCACCACTCTTTTTTCTCTTTCCTCTTATCTGTGGGTCTCACTTATACTTTTATTCCTACAATATGAGATAATTTTTTTCCTACAACATAAGAAAAATATATTTTTTTTATTGCATAAAATTGAGGCTAACAAGTTGGCTTTGGCGTTTTCTTCTTTTATCTTCAGCCATAAAAAAATGTCTTTGACTTTTGTTATTAAGTGTAATTTGAATATAAATTTATTTTTGTTATTATTATTTAATCATATATTATATATTAAAATCTAAGTGGATAACAATTACCTAATTTCTTTTCGGGCATAGCCTTAACTCCTGAAATTCTATTCTTCCATATCTTGGACACCGAAATGGGTGGGTCAAGTCAATCCTTGAGTTAGTTGAATGCAATCTGACTCAGAGTTTTGGCAATTTGTGATTTTAGGATCCAAGATAATTTGCCCAAAAGCAAATAAAAGGCAAGTTTTTTATTAGCCATAAACACCCTCTTCCCCCTATTTATTTGCTTCATCTCGGAAGGTCAACTTGCTAACCGTCCTCTCGGAGAATGAAAGGATCATATTTGTAACATGCCCGTTCATCTGGATTGTAACTAATTAAGTGGAATCCACGACCCAAAACCCCCCCAAGCAGAAAAAAAACCGTATATTTTTTCAGCCACTGCTTGTTAAAAGGGAAAAAGAAAGACAATGGAGGCAATTAACTGAACATCATTGCTTTTTCTTTTGCTCTCACGTGAAACAGCCATTTTATCCAATATTTGTTAGGTCCATCAATTTATACTTTTTCAGTTATCCCTCTCAAATTGGCAATGTTAGGTGTCCATCTAATTATCCATTCGTTATAAACTGTGTCCACTTGAAGAGAATACATGTCAGATACCATTAAAAAGTTTACAAACACTAAACTGAGAGAGATTCTTATCTGCTTCTAAGGCTAAGCCACTTATTTCAAATGATGTCATAAGATCATGCTAATTGGATATTTATTTTGTAACTAGCTAGTGCCGTAGAATTAAGATAATGCAGCTTATTAGCCCAATTTCTGCATGAGCTTCTGAATTATAATTACTTCCAAAGCCAGGGATGAAGGATTATAGTATAGTTATCACTTATCACCCAAAAGTAAAATGCTGCCTACACACAAGGGTCTGGAGTGCACGTAAAAGTGCCTGTTTGGAATACAAGAGAATTGAACACGAAAGAGCACGAGGTTATAATATCCAACATAAAGCAACAATTATAATGATAAGGGGATTATCCAAAAGTAAAAAGCTATTACAAAATGGTGTGACAGCTTGACATCTTAATCTAAGTGGTAAAATGTGAGTTGTAAGTAATATACAGATTACAGAGGGAAACGTTGAGCATAATAAAAATAGTTAAGCATTGTGAAAACTTAGTAACCGGCTTATGTTATATCTTTTAACAATTTTCCTCACTCCACTCTTGGAACCCTCTACTTTGCACTATATAAATCCCCTAAATGAGAGAGATATCATTACATCCCAAATCACTCCTATAACTATATGATGGGTGAGGCTGAGATCAAGCCATCAATTCAGGTTGTCGTAAGTGCTTCCATGAACAATACTAGTGCAAACAACCATACCCACCCGACCGATATCACCAAGCCATCACAGTTACCAATCTTAACCAAGCTCCATGCAGGCTACTTTTTCATATGTCTTTCCTTTGGTGCACAAGCTTTACTGTGGAAGAGTTTGAGCCAACATAACAAGGACTCACAAACTCTCTGGCATGGATTTAATGTGCTTCCTTCCATTGCATTTCTACTACTTTGGTGTCTGTCAGTGCTTATTGCAACTACTCTATCTTTTCTTTACATGCTCAAGTGCATCCTGCAGTTTGATATGGTGAAGAGAGAGTTTTCACATCATATTGGAGTGAACTGCATGTATATTCCTTGGATTTCTTGGCTTCTCATGCTTCAATCAGCACCCGTGATTGTTCCTAGAACTTGTTACTATCAAGTTCTTTGCTTGGCCTTTTCATTTGTAATATTGCTGCTTGATGTAAAGCTATATGGACAATGGTTCACAACTGAAAAGCGGTTTCTATCAGTTGTGGCAAACCCAGTAAGCCAGGTTTCAGTTATAGGGAACTTGGTGGCTGCTCAAGTCATTGCAGAAATTGGTTGGAAAGAGAGTGCAGTTTCAATGTTCTCACTCGGATTGGCACATTATTTAATTCTATTTGTAACACTATATCAGCGTCTGACAAGTAGCAACCAGTTTCCCACAGTGCTAAGGCCAGCTTACTTCTTGTTTTTTGCTGCACCAAGCGTTGCAAGTGTATCATGGAAATCCATCTCAGGTGCTTTTGTCACCCCATCAAAGATGCTGTTCTTTCTGTCTTTGTTCCTTTTTATGTCTCAGGTACGTTCCCGTGTCTGATTCAAATTAAAGAGTTTTGAGTGTAACTAGCTAGCTCCATAGTTTAATTTCATTTTAACGAGTCTATATACCTTTCTGCTTGAATACAGGCTTGCAGGCCAGCCCTGTTCAAGAAATCTTTGAAAAGGTTAAACGTTACGTGGTGGGTCTACTCATTCCCTTTGACATTCCTTGGCCTAGCTTGTGTGGAATATGCTCAAGAGGTGAAAGGTAGCATGGCCTCTGGGTTAATGCTGGTCATATGTGTAGTCTCGGTGTTGGTTTTCATTGTCTTGATGGTTGTAACTTTACTTAAAATTGAGAGGCTGCTGCATGCAAATGATCCCATTATGAGTTGAAAATGAAATCGCTTCAATTCGCACTGGAAGGAAGCAAATAAAAGTATATCAACTTATCAGAATGAATACCTTTTTATTCCTTACAAATCGTTTTCACCAAATATAAGTAGGGTTTTATGTTTATTATTTTACGTAACATAACTTCGCTTTCTTACACATACATTAAAAATGTGAGATCCACATGTTTTTCTTTCTATTTTATCATTCTACTTTCTCTCTCTCCCTTATTGTGTGTGTTGAAAACTACACTTATATTATGTAACATAACATTAATAAAACCATGTAAGTATATATTTGATTGTGTTATTATTCTTAAAACTGTTTTAAGTCAAAACACAAAATAAAATAAAAAACAATTCAGACGGGTTTTTTAAATTTGATTCTTAAAATAAAAACAAAAAAAAGTTACAACTTTATTTTTATTTTTCTTACAAAACAGCTTTATCAAAAGGGTTTTTTCTTGGTAAAAATAACGAGGAGGTGAGTGTCCTGCCTCTTTGTAAGTATCTCAAAGTTGGAGAGACAATGCAAACCTCAAGCTACATCCGTAGATAAGTGTGGTTAAGCATTATAAAGTCTTTTCTTCCTCCTTTTCCCTCCCATGTGAACATATTATTCATCACCCATGGAAACAAACATAATTTCTAATACTAGTAGCAGGACTTCCCTTTGAGCAAATGATACACATATTAATAATAAGAGTATGATCATGACCCCTGACCTGATCGCAACCATCTTTATTACCCCAAAAAAAAAGTAAGGGAAAAAAAAGGAGAGAAGTAGGCCTAAGTGAACGGTTAAGAATGGATCTAGACCAAGATATTGTAGATACAGAATCCCTGAGTTCCTCTAATCTCTGAGACATAAAGACCCAACAAGCGGTCAAGACATTCAATTGGTGATTAGAAATCATAAAGCAAAATTAGCTTCAGTTGCGTTACAAATTAATAGACGAAATAATGAATCGACTATCCATGGTAGTAAATACACAAACTATCACTTTTTGAGTTGGGTTTAGTATGCTCTTTTCACTTAAGCCCAATAGCTTTAATGAGAGTGAGCCCAAAGTCCAATTTTAACCCATAAAGCTTAAGGATAGTTTTGGATTGGGCAGAGTATATAAACTCTCTTTTCTTCTAGTGCTTCCTAGGGTTACTGACATCAGAAACACAACCAAAGAGGCAAATGTTAATCATCTGAACGGTTGCCCACACGACCCCCTGATCCCCTTGAGTCATAGCCTGGAAGATCAACCGTAGAGCGAAATTGCGACCGTTCGTGGTGCGTTGTTGTAAGATCGTGAGGCTTGACAAGGAGAACTGAAGGTGAGAAATCGTCACGCTCGCTTCTTCACCCCAGGTAATCAAAGTGGTGTCTTCATTCCTCATCGCATCGGTACGATGCGCTTTCGCGTTTTTGATGATATACTTTCATTTGGTATCAGAGCCGGATTGTAATGGGGATTAAGATCAGTTTTGATTTATTTCTTTTTCTGTGTGACTTTGAAAATATGGCACCTTTATTCTGTATCTGTTATTGATATTCATGTTGTTAATTCTTTATAGTTCATTTTCATAAAAGTTTAAATTTTAATCGGTAAAAATGCTTTAATCCATGGTTAGGGTCTCTCGTGTATTTCTCGATTTGTAACAAGGAGGCTAATCCCATATGATTAGGTTTCCTCCTTGATGTTTTTTATTTATTTTCGGAATTTATGTGTATTTTTCCAATATTTTGTAAAAGTTCAAGATCGAGGAATCGCGAGGAAGATGCGCAGTCAGCACTGTCAGAGACTTTTCTAGGACTTACCGATCTCAGAATGGAGCGATCTATATATGGTTGGAAAGAGGACGGAAAGACGAACACAACAGTGGGTGGATCGCCACCGTCAGATCCTCCACGCGCCTACGGAAAGACGGACGCAACTGTTTGAGAGTGGCAGCCACTCTCTGGCAAAGAATGAGAGCGTGAGGGAGAGTCCGGCCACCTTTTTGGGTGGTTCCGGCGACGGTGCACTCGTTTCTATGTGGCGGTCCTTCCCCTGGAGTTTCGGCCTGAGTTGACTTCGGATGACTGCGCGGCAGACCTGACGGCTAGGGTTCCTCTTTCGCGTCCTAGGGTTTCTCGCCAAAGGATTGGGTCTTTGGGTTTTTGGGCCCATGGAAACCCTAAAGGGGCTCGAGACAGATACTATGGGCTAGGCGAAAGTCGAATTCCAAAGTTATAATATTTTATTATTTTTATTTTATTTTCTTTAAAATAAGAAGGCTATGGATTAAAGTAATTAAAATTTATTATTTAATGCTTTTATTGATTGGTATGAATTATATGTGCGATTAACATGATATTTGCGATAATATATCATATAGAATAGGAAGGTGCCATATTGTTGCATGTTCACATGTCATACGTGCATATTTACTATTATGTCATTACCGACTAGTATGATAGTTTATGCGCGTAGTTTTTGATTTTAAATATTCCGGTAAAATAAAATTATGATTATTTTGATTTTAGAAACAAAATCTAGATTAATGGTTATATTAATTTTGAAAATTAATTTAATTGTTATGATTTTGGTAAAATCTAGAATAATCAAATTGATTATTTTTGGAGTTTAAAATCAAGACAATTAGTAAGAAAATTTTCTAAGAGAATTCTTTTATTTTGCGAGTAATTTGTGGGTCTACTAAAATGGTCATGTATTAAACACACGCTGCATACTACAATTTGTTAGGAATGTGGCTTCTATACTCAAGAGGGGGGGTGAATTGAGTATTACAAGATTTTCGCAAAAGCCCCCTTCTAGTTTATAAATAATTATTTCAACCAAACTTTGATATGTGGAAAGCTAATCAATACATTCAAACAATCTACAATATATAATATGTCACAATTATAGAGATTATTCTAGCACATACAAGATATCAAAGGAGCAATTAAAGTGCTAGAAATAAAGAGTTTAGAGTTTAGAGAATTGCAAACATGATATATCCTGGTTTGGTCACCACCACTTGTGACCTAGGTCCAGACTGAAGCCGCTCGATCAACTCTTTCACTAATGGTCAAGCTTCACGGGTGCTTGACAAACCGTTACAATCTTCCAAGACTTCGGGTTCTTGGATACCTTTCAATCTCCAAGTTTACGGGTACTTGGTAACCTTACAATTCACTCCAAATTTACTTAGGTATTTGGTGACCTTTCAAGTGTATAGGGTTCACTCCCCTAACTACTCAATAAACCAAAGGAATGTGTTTAATAATGGCTAAGTACTCTCAAAGTACAAATAACGCAAATTGAAGAACAATAGTTGTTGACACTCTTACTAGAATAAAGCTCAAAGAGAATTTATGATCAAGAAGACAAGAAAAATGGAAATAAGATGAGAATTAATGAGTAATAATGATCAAGAAGTGTGTGCCATCAATGGGAACAATAGTATCTATTTATAGAGGGCCCCCATGGCCTTTTTCCTACTCATTTTTGCAAACTAGCCGTTTTATAGCCGTTATTTTTGTCTCTATACAGTAGGTAATCGATTACCATTAAGTGGGTAATCGATTACCATGAAGGGTAATCGATTACCAACCAGTTGAAAGGTTGGTTTTCGCCCTAGAATGGTTTTTTCTTGATTCACATCCTTTTCAAATATTGTTTAAACATTTTATGAACATTGAAAAATATGTTTTCATGTTAAGAATGTATTTGAAGGTCAAAAGATGATTTAATGCATGTATTTGAAAAATACTTTGAGCTTCGTTCTTGTAAGGAATCAATTTACAAATAATCCTAAGTCCTATAGTATATTACTCTGAGTCTGGACTTAGAGACTTCTCTTGAAGCTTAAGTCTTGATCTTGTTTAGACTTCTTTTTTATGGTTGCACCTTGAAGCTTTCTTTCCATGCTTGTTTGTTATCATCAAAATCGTTTGAACCTTTATGTTCTTTTCATAGAGTGCATTGGTTTCACACAATCATGTATCATGATTGTGTGAAGCATATGCTTCCTATCATGACCGGATTTTAGGATCTTAATGATTTCAAAATTCAGATAAGCTAAGTGATGCACGTTCATCGGCACTCTTGCTTACATAATTTTTGAAATCAAACAAAGGATACTCTCAATTAAATAATTCTTGGAAATTGGAAAATATTGCTTATGTTGAATGGAAGGAGATTTAAATTAAGAAATTAATTTAACCTTCAAGCGCATTATAGGACCATTAATAAAATAATCATGTGAAGTCCCATCGAATAAGCATGATTGCATTTTATTAGATTGGACCTAAATAATTATGGGAAGAGATTTAAATTAAGAAATTAATTTAATCTCCAGGCGCATTGTGGGCCTATCAATAAAATAATCATGTGAGGCCCAACGGATAAGCATGATTGGATTTTATTGGGCCTTAATAATTTCAAAATTTTAATAAAGTATTGTACGACCCATCGTCGATAATACTAAGTTATTAAAGATAATTTAGAAATTAAACAATGAATTCGACAGGGCTTGTTAAAATTCTCAAACAAAAATGTTGAATGGGTGAAGGTTTTAAAAATTAAATAATTAATTTTAAAATATACGGGCTCATTTGTGGGTTTATTAGTGAAATGGTTATCGCTGAAGCCCCATTGGATAAGGATAATCAGATTTCACTAGATTAAATCTTAATAATTTCAAAATTTAATAAAGTATTGTACGGCCCATCGTCGGCAATGCTTAGACACTAAGGATAATTTTGAAATTAAACAATGGTTAATTACATTTAACTTTGGTAAAATTGTTAACCCTCCCATCGAAGCTCTGGCAATAACACTGAAGGCCCAAATAACAATTTTGGTTTTTACTAGTGACTTGCCCATCGTAAGCCTTGTACAGATAAACTGAAGGATTGTTAACAATAAACAAGAGTAGTTATGAGAATCTACTTGTACTTCATTTGTTTATTGCATTATTTGTTTATAATTGTGTGTTTTATATGTTTTTTCAGAAAATGAC